AGGCATGTGCCACCGTGCCCGGCCCGGCCATCAGCATTTATTATTTATTGTGGGGGTTTTTGTTTCTGTTTTGCTTATTTGCTGAGGCTGGCTTCCAGTTTGTGATTGTCCTTCCCAAGTTGCTGGGATTACAGGCATGCACCACACTCCTGGATTATTGTTTGTATTTGTGGTGACTGCCATTCTAACTGGAGTCAGATGAAGCCTCAGTGTAGTTTTGATATGCTTGCTGTTTATATTTTTTTTCTTTTGAGAAATATCTGTTAATTTCATTTGCCAATTTATTGTTTAGGTTGTTCGGTGTTTTGTTTTGTTTTGTTTTTAGTTCTTTATGTATTCTGGATATTAATCATCTGTCAGAAGAGGAGTGTTGGTCCGGCACTTTATTGTAACAGTTGCAAAGTTGACTTTTGTGCAAGATGAGAGATAGGATCTAGTTTCATTCATCTTATATGGCTTTCCAGATTTCCCAGCACCATTTGTTTGAAAAGCTGACTTTTCTCCAGTGGGTGTTTGTGGCACCTTTGTCAAGAATCAGATGACTGTGCCTGCGGGTTTGTCTCTCTGTCTTCTGTTTTATTCTTTTGTGTGTCTCTTATGCCAACACCATGCAGTTTTCATTACTGTAGCTCTGTAGCGGTATTTAAAGTGAAATATTGTGATGCCTCCAGCATTGCTTTTTTTTTTGGCTTAGAACTGCTTTGGTGATAATGAGTCTTCCATTCTTCCAAATAAATTTTGAATTTTAGGACTGTTTTTTTTCTAATTCCGTGAAGAACATTATCAGTATTTCAGTGGGGATTGACTTGAAATCCTTTTGGTAATATGGCCATTTTAACAATATTAACTCTGCCTATCCGTGTACATGGGAAGTTCTTCTGTATTCTAGTGACTTCCATTTTTTTCTTCAGTGCTTTATAATTTTTATCATAGAGGTTTTGCACCTCCTTGGTTAGAGTTTTTCTTTTTTTTAAGAGATTATTGTGGACCAGGGTTGTGGCTCAGTGGTAGAGCATTTACCTAGCATGCATGAGCACTGAGTTCAATTCCTGGCACCATATACAATAAACAAATAAATAAAAGGTGTACTTTGTTAAAAAAAGAAAGAAAGATTATTGTGAATGGAATTGTTTTCCTAATTTCCTTTTCAGCAAATTTGATATTTTTAAAAAATATTTTTTGTTGTAGATGGACACAATACCTTTATTTAGGTTTGTTTGTTTGTTTGTTTTTAATATAGTACTGGGGATCAAACCCAATGCCTCATGCATGCTAGGCAAGCTCTACCACTGAGCCACAACCCCAGCCCTCATCAAATTTGTTACTGAGGTAAGGGAAAGCTGTTAAGTTTTGCATATTCATTTTGTATTCTCTTTCAGTTGTAGTTTTAAGATTATTTGTTTAAATTCTTTTTTACTGCTGCTTTCCCCCTCAAACCTAGTTCAATGTTTTAGATTCATCTTTAGAATATTAGTATCTTTAAGCTTTATTGTGCTTTCTTTTGAGGAGCTGGGTGGATGAACCCACTGAGTTACATCCCCAATTCATCACATGAACCCCCTTTTTTACTTTATTTTTAAATTTTGAGACAGAGTCTCAATAAATTGCCCAGAGGGTGAATATGGAAACAAGTGTTCACTTTAAGAAAGTGACTATTTGAATAAAAAGAACTGAGGTAAGAGAATGACCATGGAGTGAATGAGGAAAAAAGCCAAGTGTAAATGATCTGGAAGTTTGTCTGCCATACTGGAGAAAGGTAGCAAGGAACCAGAGTAACTGGTAGAGTGGGCTAGGTGAGTATCAGGAAATGAAGTTGAAGAGGTGATAGAGGTGAAAGATAGTTTAGGGCCCTCTGCAAGAACCTGGGCTTTATTTTTTATTTTTTTGAGATAGGTTCTCACCAGGTTGCCAGGCTAGCCTTGAACTTGGGAGCTTCCTGTCTTTTAGCCTCTTAAGTAGTTAGGATTATAGCATGTGCCACAGCACCTATCCAGGAACTTTGTCTTTGAATACTTTTTTTTTAGTTGTAGAGGGACACACAATATCTTTGTTTTTTTTTTTTTTTTTTTTTTAAATATTTATTTTTTAGTTTTCGGAGGACACAACATCTTTGTTTGTATGTGGTGCTGAGGATCGAACCTGGGCCGCACGCATGCCAGGCAAGCGTGCTACCGCTTGAGCCACATCCCCAGCCCCACACAATATCTTTGTTTATTGATTTATTTTTTATGTGATGCTAGGCAAACACTCTATTAAATTTTGCCAGGTTTGGGATTTGTTATCCTTTTCTAAAAGGACTATAGAAGCCTTTCTAATTTCTTTATACCAGTACTATGTCAAAACTATTCATTTTTTGCTTAGATAGCGAATATTTCTCCAGGTTAGCTTGTACAGACTTAAAAATGACTACAGTTGATTGTTTCATTTGTAATAAATATATATATATAGCCAGTTTGACACATAACTAGTGCTTTTTTTGAAGAATTTTAAAATTTTGTGGGTTTTTCCCCCCTTCTTTCTCCTTACAACTAGTCTTTCAGCTATTCATATAGTAAATTGATTGTTTACCTGCTTCTGAGGGTGAATATGGAAACAAAGTTCTCAAAGTATTACATAACTTTTTAAATTTGTCATTTCTAGCATGTGTTTTCTCTCTAACTTCTATTTTTACCTTAATCCTAGTTTTACTTTGCTATTCTTGCCATGTTCTTTTTTTAAAAATTTTTTTATAGTTATACATGGACACAATATCTTTATTTTGTTTATTTATTTATTTATGTGGTGCTGAGGATCGAACCCAAGGTCTCACATGTGCGAGGCGAGCACTCTACCGCTGAGCCACAACCCCAGCCCCTTGCCATATTCTTTTCGTACCCACATGTGTTCACTTTTTACTTAAGGGATATGCCCTAGCCTTGAAATAATGTTATTGACCCATATGGAGAGCTCATGGTATCATGGGTTAGTTTATGAGGGGGAAAAAAACCCATATTGCTCTTTCAGTGTTTTTTGTTTTTTTTTCTTATTTAGATATTTGGTATCTTAATCTTTTTCATATTCATAGTTTTGGTATGATTTTTAGATCCTAAAGATCTTCCCAAATCCTCCCATTTATCGATGATGTGATCTGGTTTTCATACCTGCAAACATATTCTCCTCTCTGACTCTCCAGAAAACCAGTTAAATAGGGTTGCACAGGATAATTTTTCCCAAAAACTGTAGAAATTAATATTGTCCTACATAAAAATATCATATTTAGTTAGTGTCCTTTCCTTTCAGTGGCATCTACAATTGCTGGTTAACTAGAATCTTCATTTCATTTTGTCCATTCTAACCTTCAAGAGACCTTCTTTGCTGGTCTGTGTGGTTGCTAGAAGGAGGCAGTTGGATGGAGAATGTTTTTAAAGATTCCATTGTTCTTAAATATTTACTTTCTCCTATACAAGTCCATAAAGGGAAGCCACTTTCAGAGAGTGTGCTGGAAATGAATGCAGCTGCAGCAGATGTTTTTGCCAACAGAGATTTGTGCTACATTTTTGTCTTTATTATGTTATTGCCTTTGCTCCTGGGATCCCATCTCATAGTGCCATTCTCTAGGCAGGTTGTTTCTTCTAGGAGTGGTATTACCCAGATGATTTTGAGTTATGCTTTGGTAAATGCCAGGCTTATTCTTTATAATAACTACAGTATAGGGATCAACATGACTTCAACTTTTCTCCTCCAAGCCTAAGATGATAAAGGCACTGGTTTTTGTTTTGTTTTGTTTTGTTTTTAGCAGAATTAAGTCGTGGGGGAGGGGGGACATGGTAATAGGGATTGAACTACTGAGCCACATCTCCAGGCTTCTTTTAATTTTTATTTTTAGTTACAGATGGATATAATACAATTATTTGTTTTATTTTTTATGTGGTGCTGAGAATCAAACCAATGCCTCACACGTGCTCTACCGCTGAAACACAACCCCAGCGCCCCCCACTCCCCTTTTTTAAGGCAGGGTCTATTGAGTTGCACAGGGCCTTGAACTTGATCCTCCTGCCTCAGCCTCCAGAGTCACTGGAACTATAGGCATGCACCCTGCACCCAGCTAGAATTAAGTCTTTTGAAGACTTAAATTAGTTCATATTTCATTCCAGACTTTGCTGGAGAGATTGTTTATTTTGCCCTCATATACAAAGGAAGCTTAATGAAAATAATTTCTGTCCCCTTAGAATTAATACAAAGACTATGAATAAGAACACTCAGGATGCAAAATTTATTTTGATTACTTAAGCATGAATCTTTTAACAGTGGGTTTTAGGCTAGGTTAAAGAGAATTTAATGAATTACTTGTCTCCAGAAATATGCCACCTTGTATGGGATTACCTGAAAGTTTTAAGGAAGAAGTATAAAGACAAAAAGGAGGTAGTTGGTAATTAAGGGCTTCCATGTGGATGAAGTTGCTAAAAATAAATCCAAGTCCTGAGAATCGGGAGCCTACTACTCGCCTTGGTAGACAGTTAAACCATCAGGTGGTCCAGATGTGGTGATGCATACCTGTAATACCAGCGACTGAGGAGACTAAGGCAGGAGGATTTCAAGTTTGAGGCCAGCCTTACAACTTAGCAAGGCCCTGTCTCAAAATTAAAAAGGCTGGGAATGTAGTTAAGTACTAGAACACCCTGGTTTTGGCCCCCAGTAACACAAACACACAGAACTTCAGGTGATGAAACTATGCAGATATTGTAAATTGTTTTCAGCATCTTTTGAACTATTACGGGTTTGATATCTAGGCAAACAATTAGGGTGCCAAATAATTGGATTTTATTGAAAAGAAAGTTACCTTAATCACTTTGAAGGTCAATGTGTTCCAGAGACACGGAAATGACTTAACTAATCAAGCATTCTCTTGGCAGTGTCATATCGCTGTCTAACAAGGTTTCCTGAATCTTTGGGATAATGAGTGGGAATCTTGGTTTTTTATCAGATGCTGAATTATCAGAATTTTGTTTGGCTTTTCACAGGTTCACCGGAACAGCACAATCCGCTCTGGCTGTGATGTGAATCCCTCCTGTGCACTGTGTGGTTCAGGCAGTGTCAGCACCATGCTTCCTGAAATCCACTACGAAGCCCCTCTGTTGGAACGCCTTTCCCAGTTGGACTCTTGTGTTCACCCTGTGCTAGCATTTCCAGATGGTAAGAAAGACCACAGAATATAAAGTCTAATGAATGAGACTTAACGAAGGTTTCAGCTCAGGTACTCACTCTAAATGTACCACTTCCCATCGGTCTTCAAACTTTGCAGAAAGGGTGCGATAGATGTGCCAAACCAGTATGTGACACTAAAAATATTGCAGCTTGCTAGGGAGTTTTCCCATTCACTGTTGAGTGTCTGGGAGGTGCCTGGGTTCAGTTGCCTCCTACCTCTAGTAATCTGGTTCTTTATAGCTTAGTTTATCTTTAAAAATATGTTCTTTGTATGCACCATGATGTAAAATAGAATGGGCAGCATTGTTCTTGTGAGTGTATTCATTCATATTGGTGTGTATGTGAAGACATGACATCTTTCCAGTGTGTTCATCAGCATGGATCCTTAGTGTTGGCATGTATTGTTTTTCTGATATTTACCTGCCTCTGATAAGTTTCTGTGTCTATCAGTTCTCCTTTCCCACCTCCCTTTTCACATCTAGCTCCCTCCAGTATGTTAAAAGACATGCATTCCTCTTGGCCATGTTGAGCCTCAGTGTGGAATGGGTCTTGTTCCAGAGAGTATAAAACTTAAAACACAGAAGACAACAAATAAAGGGAACATTTCTAAGAGTTCACAGCTCCTAAATAATAATCCCGGGATGGGATGTAGCTCAGTGCCTCAAATTTGCAAAGCCCTGGATTGACCCCCCGGTTCTCCCTTCCAAAAAAAAAAAAATAATAATTTTAATCCTGGGAATTAAATTTACAAGATGAGTGGGGATATAGTTCAGTGCTAGGACATTTGTTTAAGCATGAGCAAGGTCCTGTGTGCAAGCCCCAGTATCACTGCAGGGGTTTGGGTGGAGTGGCTAGTTTTTATTTAAAAAGAAAAGGAATGAAGCCAGTCATGGTGGCACACACCTATAATGCCAATAACACAAGAGGCTGATGCAGAAGAACTACAAGTTCGAGGCCAGACTAGGCAGCTGAGTGAAGACTCTGTCTCAAAGTAAAACTTAAAAAAGAAGCCGGTAATGAATATAACTTACTGTAGAACACTCCTAGGTTCAATCCCCAGTGTGTATCACACACACACACACACACACACACACACACACACACAGAGACTCCAAACAAAAAATAAAATCAAGTTGGTGTAGACTACAATTTATAGTAAGTTTGTGTAAGTCAGATTTTGACCAAAGTCTTGGTGGACTAATGGCAGGTTCAACAGGAAGATTTTTTTCTCTCAATTAATGAAAGTAAATATATTTACTTGCCAAAGTATTAACAAAATGGTTTTAAAGCATTTGTAGTATTCTAGAATATACAACCTTTATTATAAATTATCTGAAGTGATCTTTTTTTAAAATTGCATTTTAAATAGTACACAAACAAAAATATTTGGAAACCACTGCTCTGGATAGTGCTTTTGTAATCTGGTATGGATTCACTGACTTTCACATAATGTGCTCTCTAATCATCACCATGTTGGGGTTGTTTTTTGTTTTGTTTTGATTTTGGTCTTGTTTGTTTGTGTTCTTTGTTTTTCAGTACTGGGGATTTGATCCAGGGCCTACACATGCTAGGCAAGTGCTATATTCACTGAGCTATCCCCAACTCCATATTTATTTATATGCTAATGGCGCATATTATGGCTATTTATTGTACTTTATCTTCTCGAGGATTCAGATCAGTGTTTTTCATGTCATCTTTCATAACATTTCACAAATAGATTGCACCTTTCTGAAAGGAGAATAACTGAAATAGGAGTTGAAGAATGAGAAAAGATTGTAGGATTTATAAATTTTACATGATATGAGAAAAAACATGGAAACAAGCGGTTTATAAGCTTAAAAGGGCAGGTGGTAGATAAATATCTTAGGCTGTACAGGCCGTATAATCAGTGTCAGTTTATGTCACAACTGCTCAACTGACATTTTTAGCACAAAAGCAGTTATGGACAAGATGTTAAAAAAGGGAGGCCAAGTAGTGTTCCAATAACTATTGGAAGCAATAGTCATTGCCAACCCCCATCCTTAAGAATCCCCCTTGTAATTGTCATTTGATCATTAAAGAACTGTAATCTCCTGTTCTGTGTGTGTTCTTCAAATGACTGAATTCTTTCTTGGCTCCCAAAGGCTGTAGCTACAAGGAGTTTTGGCTTTTGTTACCAAAATCCTCTTTGTCAAAAGGAAGTGGTATAATATTCCTGCTGCCACATGATGACTTGTAAGAGTAGGAAAATTCAGAAAACTTGGAGCACATGGATAGCAAGATAAGAACCATAATGAGTAGGAAATGCCTGAACATTTTCCTTTGAACTTCATATTCAAAAGTCATTCACTTGTCCCTTTAAATTATAGATATTACCACTTCCACTATTATTTGTATAGTATTTTATGGTTTAAAAAGCACTTTTCTCATATTTGTCTCATTTGCTTCTTTCCAAAGTCTTGTAATTTTATAGATCAAAGAATGCTTAGTGAGATGTGGTGGTTTATCCAAGACTAAATGGCTGTAGAATTCAAACTGGGAGTCAGCTAATGCCTCTCCTTCCTCTCACTATATTCTGTGTTCCTTCCCAGAGAAATTATTATGAAAAGTCAGATTTCTTCCCATTTCAAGATTCTGACTCCAGACAGAGCCTCCAGGAAAACTGGAAAGCATTTTCTTGAGTTATTCTTTGAATTTATGTATTTATTTATTTTTATTTTGGTACCAGGATTGAACCCAGGGGCACTTTAATACTGATCTATATCCCCAGCACTTTTTGAGACAGGCTTTCACTAAGTTGCTAAGGCTGGCATCCTCCTACCTCAGCCTTCCAAGTCCCTGGGATTATAGGTATGGGCCACCATGCCAACTACTTTCTGAATTATAGTGTTGTATGGTCTCAAATTTGAAGACAAAAAAAAAAATCCAAAATTGTACTCAATGAAAATCCCCTAATAAGCATGTTAATCATTCCTTTGTCAGTAGTGTAACCATGTATAACTGTTGATGGTCTCCCCCAACTCGCAAGCAAATATGCCTGAGCCACCTGCCTCACATCTCTCATGTATTTCATCACTTAGCATGCTATTAGGAGGAACTCGTTCCCTATTAATATTTTCTGCCCTACTTACTACGTCATACCTATATGACTACCGCCCTTCTGCCCTCCCTTACACTTCACCATACCATTTCATTCCAAGCAGTAGAGTCAAGAAAGAAAATATTTTAGAGCACCTCTTTCTCTGATCTTTATCATTTTCTTGCCTCTAAATACTGCTTGTGTGCATGTTATTCCTCCCCTATCTGCTATCTCATTATATCAAACACACAAAACACACAGACACACACACACACACACACACACACACACCTCTCCTAACTATAAATCTGGGGTTGGACAAGAGAGTTGGCCAGCAATGTTCTATTTATGAAAGTATAAACAAAAACGTTTATAAATTTTACCATCCTGAGTAGGATACATGAACTGTATTTGTCTATGGGTTCGTTAGGTCTCCCCAGGTTATTTCACATAATTCTAATTATCCTATTTAACATTGTTACTATTAGGATAATTTTGCTTTGATGTGAATAAATGCCATATTCAGAGCACAGTCTATTTGTAAATGAACGATTCCCAGAGCCATAGAGACGCCCAACTCCTGAGGGTACCACTCATTTATATTTTATTTGAATAGCACCCACAAGGCAGGGTTGTGCACATATGTAATCTCAGCAACTTAGGAGAGCAAGGTAGGAGGATCACATGTGTAAAACCAGCCTTAGCAACTTAACATGATACCCTGTCAACAAAAAAATAAAGTAAAATGAAAAGCACTAGGGTTATGGCTCAGTGATAAAGTCCTCCTGGGTTTGATCCCAGTACCCCCACCCCCAAAAAGCACCCCCTGAAGTATTGGCATTCCCTGTATTTCACTGTATAGCATTTAACTACACTGAAGACAACTCATCCTAGTACTGTGGTTCCAATTCTTGTGCACTAGACTTGACTACTGGTCTGCCCTATTGTAGCCTCTTCTCTAGGAGATGTTTAAAAATGGCAGAATTTCCAATTTTGTTTTTCTTAAGGTTAATTTTGCTTCATTCTTTAATTCCCGTGATGGTTACATTCATATAAACCTCCCATATAAATGTTTCCATTGAATTTCTAATCGCTCCATTCATTGGATATCTGTTGGGATTTCTTCCTCCACATTTGGAATTGTTTAAATGTGATACTTAGCTATATTCTGTAGGGCTCTGTAACAAATTTTAAGCAGTTTTACAAATGCTTCCTAATCAGTTTGTGCGGTTGCTGTATCACAGCCAGCTGCTATTCTGGCCTAGAGTTCTCTCTCTCAACCTTCAGTGCTCCATTCATTGCCGTTAAGGGCATCTAGATAAGAAATTTAATTGGATGGGGTGGCTTAGACATGGTATCTCAAGTCTGTAACCCCAGCCATGTGGGAGGCTGACAGGAGGATTGCAAGTTTGTGGCCAGCCTGGGCAATTTAGGGAGAACTTGTCTCTAGATAAAAGGGGTTGGGGTGTACATCGATTGTATAGTCCCCTGGCTGTGGAAGTTGGAGGAATAGAGTGTAATAGCCTCTTAGTATTCAAGCAGAAGTATTGTTTCTTTATCAACTTCCTTAGTAATTAATTAATTCCTATTTAGAAATGTAGAGGATGTATAACCTTGGGGGAAACAATGTAACTTTTAAGTTTGTAAAAAGGGGTTATTAAGGGCATCATCTGCTGACCAGAAGTTCTTTGCTGTTTTGAGAGTTTGCCAAACTGGGCCTCTGAGGCTACTACAACTTCCCAGCAGAAGGAAGAAGTGAGCTTACAAAATAAGACTTGTTTAAGAAAATGGTTCAAAGTAATGAGTAGAACTGTCCAGTGAATCATAGAATACCAGAACCTGGTAGACCTGCAGTCAAGGTTTGATTTTGTTTGAGGAAATAGTAACTTAAGGTAGTATTAGTAATAGTTTTATTTTCCTATTATATATCTGATAAGGAAACCTCTTCACTTAATAACACTTTAACCCCAAGTGCAGGTATAGAATGTGGGATGTCCTCTAGCTGCGTGGATCCCTGTTAAGTGTTTTTTTCGTTTCATATTCCTTTCAGTTCCCTTCTCCAGCCTGTTTCAGTTTTTTTGTTTTGTTTTTTGGTTCCTGAGATTGAACTCATTCAGGGGCACTCAACCACTGAGCCACATCCCTAGCCCTGTTTTGTATTTTATTTGGAGACAGGGTCTCACTGAATAGCTTAGCACCTTGCTTTTTTGCTGAGGCTAGCTTTGAACTCCCGATCTTCCTGCCTCAGCCTCCCCAGCTGCTGGGATTATGGGAACCACCATGCCTGATTCACATTTTTAACAATAGCTATTTGGATTTAACTTTTTTTTTTTTTTTTTTAAGAAGAATTTGAGGGGCTGGGGATGTGGCTCAAGCGGTAGCGCGCTCGCCTGGCATGCGTGCGACCTGGGTTCAATCCTCAGCACCACATACAAACTACGATGTTGTATCCGCCAAAAACTAAAAAATAAAATATTTAAAAAAAAAAAAAAGAAGAAGAATTTGAAATCTAGTCCATTGTTATTTTTAGTATGACCAGGCCTCTCATTTCCCTATGTACCCTTTTTTCGCTGGCTTCATTTTCAGGTTTGGGAGAGTTGTGACTGGGGTGGGGGAAAAAAAAACAAAATCACTGTGCTTTTGGTGTCCTGTTACATATATACACTCCTTTTGCCAAGTGGAGGTATTCATCTTCTGACAAAGGGGTATCTGGGCATATGCAGAAAGTGTCCTCCCCTTCCCTGAGCTTTCATTATGCATTCAGGCTGGAGCCCAGCTTTCAGACTGTTGTCCTACACTGGGTACTTCTTAACAATGCTTTATTTCCCACACACCCCTTTTCTCAGCCTGGTCTGAATTAGAGCAAAGAACTTTTACCATCGATACTTCTAAATTTGATTCATGACTAATGTGTTATTTTCCTCACCCCTTTTTAATGTACAACTGGTTTATTTTTAGGAATTGGTATAGGTGAGTTTGTTTTTATATGTGAATGAGAAAGAATGATTTGGGAAATTTTTTTTCAGAAGATTGCACTGTTCTCAGTTATTGTCTTTTTTTTTTTTTTTTCTTTTCTTTTCTTTCTTTCTTTTTTAAAGGTATTGGGGCTTAAACCCAGGGGCACTTAACTACTTAACTACCCGAGCCATGTCCCTAGTCCTTTTTGAGACAGGGTCTCACTAAGTTGCTGAGGCTGGCCTCAAATTTGGATCCTTCTGCCTCAGCCTCCTGAGCAGTTGGGATTATAGGTATGCACCACCATGCCTGGCAGTGTTACTTTGTAACCTTAGACAGAGTTAATTCACCCTGATTTTGTTTCCTGTCTTCAAAATAAGCATAATGATGCTCACTTCATGGAATTGTTGAAAAGGTTAGTGATACACACATAATATGCCTGTCACATAAGAATGGATTCAGTGATGGTAATTTATTCGTCTCTTCCCTGACTCCCTATCCTGGTTCTAATTGAACACATCCTTTGTCCTTTCTGGAGGCCAAAACACCATAAACATTTAGAAACTACTAAGTAGAATAAGTGAACTTTCATTGAATTTTGAAAGATGGAATTTTTCTGACAAGAAAACCAGAGAAATAATATAGGGGAAAATATAGCCCAAACCGCCGGCAGGAATAAGCTCCTGTGTAGTGGGAGCTGCTTAAAGCAGTTTCTTTATCTAGACTTAAAGAGCATAGATTAGATAGAACCTGAGCAGTTGTGTAAATTTGGAATGAGTTGGATTTCTCTTCTCATACCCCTTTCACACTGAAGCAGTGACTAGTATGGACTCTAGTAGGGTTGGATTTATTAGTATATATATTATTGCTATGTTGGGAGCTGAGCCCAGGAGCACTCTACCACTAAGCTACAAGCCCAGCCCTTTTTATTTTTTCCTTTGACACAGAGCCTCACTGAGTTGCCTAGGCTAGTCTCAAACTTGATTCTCTTGCTTCAGTCTCCTGAGTCACTGGGATCACAGGCATGTGCCTCCATGCTCTGCAAGGGTTGGAACTTTGTAGTGTTTCATGACTCGTTACTTGATTTCCTAGGGAAACAGGGGCCCAAAAAGAAATATTCTGGCCTTTAGATTAAAATGATCCTGGAAAGCTTTCCAGAACCCTAAAAAAAGACTCAGACCTATGTAGCCATGGTGGTGAAATATCAGAATGTTGCAAAAACATAACAAGGAAAATCTAAACTGGACATGGTAGTGTGCAACTATAATCCCTGCTACTTAGGAGACTGAGGCAAGAGGATCACTAGTTTCAGGTTAGCCTAGGCAATTTTCCAAGATCCTATCTCAAAATAAAAAGGTCTGGGCGTGTAGCTTAGTGGTAGATCTCCCTGGAGTTCCATCCCTAGTACCACAGAAAAAGAAATCTTAAAGTTGCATATTGTCACTAGAGTTCAAAAATAATGGGTCAAATCAAATAAAAGGACTAAGTAAAAAAAATAAATAATCTCTTTACTGATACACACAGAGAAAATTTTATGGAATAACACAAAGGCATAAAGAGTTTAATGGGATCACCAAAACTACCAAATACTTTGTAGAGAAAATAAAAGAAAAATCTAAATAAATAGAGAAAGGTAACATGTTGACATTTAGAAATTCAGTATTCATGGCAGAACAAATGACTGTTATCCCCACATTGAACTGGAGTATCATTAGGTGTTTTGTTGTTTGGTTTTAATTTTTCACAAAAGCTTAAAAGACAAAACTCAGACCACCTACAATAAATAAGAATCAGATTCTCTCTAATGTATAACACTGGATGTAGAATACCATGGAAGAATAGCTTTAAAGGTCAGAGAGGAATTCCTGAAGGACCTATTGGGAAATTGAAATTAATCTAGAGCTGGGTGCTGTGGCTTGCACCTACAATCCCAGCTGCTCAGAAGGCTGAGAGATCACTGGAGCCAGGAGGTTGTGACCAGCTGAGCAGTGTAGCAAGACCCACCCCCATCTTGAGGGTGGGGCGGGGGGGCGGAATCTAAAGAATGAAAAGATAAAAAAATAATAGTGAAGAGTGCTCATTTCGGCAGCACATAAACTAAAACTAGAATGATTCCGAGAATATTAGTGTGGCCCCTTTGCAAGGATGATACACAATTTCCTGAAGCATTTCGTACTTAAAAATACATACGTAGTGAGAAAAAGTTAAAGATTATAATTAAGTACAAAAGATAATTGATTTGTGGTGTATAACATTTAACTGCTCAGCTGAAAAATAACCTAGGTAACCGAGGTGGGAGAAGGTAAGGAGGCTACAAAGGAAGGAAAGTATTATGTATTTCTTATTTGGAGGAAAGGGTGCTTGGCAACACTGTCCTCCCTCTCCCACCCTCACCCCCACTTCTTATAATACAGGGGGCTGGGGATCAAACCCGGGGCTTCTTATATGCTAGGCAAGCAGTACCATTGAGCTACGTCCCCAGTCCCTTTTTTTTTTTTTTTGAGACAGGTTGTCACTAAGTTTTCCAGGCTAGCCCCAAACTGGATATTATCCTGCCTTCCAAGTAGCCCCCTTGTAGAATCTTTCTTTTTTAGCGGGGGGTGAGGTGGGATTGAGGTACCCAGTATTGAACTCAGTCAGGGGCACTCGATCACAGAGCCACATCCGCAGCTCTTTTGTATTTTATTTAGAGATAGGGTCTAACTGATAAGTCTACACTGATAGAAGATAGCAGGTTTTAGTCTCTAGAAGAATAGAAAAAGGGTGTTCATCTGTCTGTTAAACCAGTAAAGACAGCAGACTTAGAGAAGTGCATCCTTGAGGGGAGACTCCATCAGTCTAATAAAAGGTGTTTGGAATTTCTACTCCCCTGCTTGGAACTTGAAAATGAAAAGGCAAGTAACGTGCTTGTAAGTAGAGGAACTATGTTTACCAAGGTTTTCATAGATGGATCTTCTATCTGACAGCTTCTGCTTGTCAAGTCCAGGAGAGTCAGTGTTGAACACCCATCGTTTCAGGAAAGAGGAGCCCAGAGATCAGGTGTTTGGACTGACTTGCAGTGTTCTTTGTTTCTTGCAGATGTTCCCTCGAGCCTGCACTTCCAGAGCATGCTAAAGTCTCAATGGCAGAACAAGCCTTTTGACAAAATCAAACCTCCCAAAAAGTTCTCACTTAAGCACAGAGCACCCATGCCAGGCAGTCTGCCGGATCCAACTCGTAAAGACAGGCACAAGTTGGTCAACTCCTTCCTGACAACAGCCAGTAAGTTTCAGAGAACTGGGGAGTCCTTCAGAGTCCTAGTTATTTTTCATTCTTTTATGTTCTCAAGTTACTGGTTTGCCATGCCAGTGTGTTGGGTAAGGCAGTTGTATCACAGTCTACTACTTCTGCTTGTCTTAGATGCTATTAGATGGATTTTGGAAGCTATTCCAAACACCATGGATCATGGGGAAGACTCAAAGTGTCCATTGAACAGTTGGCAGTGACATAGCATTGCACCCACCTGTCGGCAATGCTATGTCTTTTGTAGCCTGGTGTCACATTTCTCTGGTTATGGATTCCCTATGCCTGTCCTAGCCATTGTGCTATTTACTAGAGGCTTCAGTCCCAAAGGACTTTCTTGCTGCCCTGAGTATATAGCATTGACCTAGAGAGAACTTAAGGGCTCAAATAAAAGATTTGAGAGAAGGTGTTTCACAGCTCTTTTTCTGTTCCCCTCTTCAGAGCTGTCCCATCACCAAACCCGGCCTGACAGGACCCACAGGCAGCACTTAGACGATGTGGGGGCTGTGCCCATGGTGGAGCGAGTGACAGCGCCAAAAGCAGAGCGCTTGCTCAACCCACCGCCACCCATGCATGACCCAAACCACAGCAAAATGAGATTGCGAGACCATTCATCTGAGAGAAGTGAAGGTAGGGCCAGGCCCGGCACCTCTACCTGCATTTGCACCTGCTCAGGGCTTTCTGGGGCAGCCCAGGCTTCTCTTAATTGCCTGCCAGCTTTGTCCTTCGCCTTCTAGGAAGGCTGAGTAGGGGGGCACTACTGCTTCTAAATGCAGGTCACTTCTTACCGCTGCAGCAACCTCTGCCAATTCCCCTACCTCTCATCATCAAGTTTGCCTCACCTTTTTATCCTCCAGGCTTAGAAAGCATTTTTACCTTTCATGCATATTGCTGGTGTTCCTTAGTGTGTATTTAGAAGTGAAGCTTGTTAAGATAGTTATGTACTCCTTTCTTTTCTGTTGACTTCTGCAGTGTTGAAGCATCACACAGATGTGAACAGTTCAAGCTACTTGGCTGCTGCCCACCATCCACCACACAGTCCCTTGGTGCGACAGCTTTCCACCTCGTCAGACAGCTCCGCACCCACCAGCTCTGGCTCACAGGTTACAGCCAGTGCTTCTGTAAGTACCTGTGTGTATCTGGCTGGGCATCCTCTGCAGGTTGCCCCTCATGCACGTGTCTCTGGGGTATATTATAGAGGGTAAGTTATGAAGCCCAGGACATTCGTGGTAACTCATTTTTAAGCCATAGTGGTGGTATTTAATCTGTTATTTTTCATAGTAGAGTTGGATCTCTGCTGAGCCACCCACAGGAAGCTTGATACTGAAGTAGACTATTAAGGTGATCTCTGCTCAAGATTTGTGGAACTAAGCTTCAGACAGAAGTCTACAGTACCATGGCCTTAACTCTCTTGGCCCAAGAAGTGAGAGGAGGGAGATGGGCTTTGGAGATAGCTGTTGATTTCCTTATTTCTGTTCTTATGGTGAATGGAGGTTACTTCCAGTGAAAACTGTGTGTGAGGTATTGGAAAGGAAGGGAGTAGGCAGAGAGTCCCATGTTTTTTTTAGTTGGAGAGAAGAGAACTACAAATTCAGCAGGTCACTGTGGTTGTGTCCACATAGTACATTCCTAATGGCAGCCCATTTAAGGCACTCCTTCCCCTCACCCCATCAACTTTGACAGTACCACATTCCATCCATCAAGCTGTTTGCAGCCATTTCAAACATTCTCATTAATTTTGTTTTAATATTTTCATCTCTCAAGCTGCACTCCCTTGAACACATACACTTGTAGCTGATTTGTATCCATTAGAGTCCTTCATATAATAATTTCGATAACAATTATAACAGTAATAATAAAACTCTAGAACACTAATGTTTATTGTACACTTATGCCAGTGCTGTTTGATGTGTGTCATTCCTTTTAATCCTATAATACCCTTTGAGATGTAGGTGGTTTTATGAATTCTCATGTTTTGGGCATGAAAACTAAGGCTTTCCAATGTTAAGTAAATTGCATAAAGTGAGGCAGCTTGTGAAGGGTTATAATTGTGATTCAAACCCCAACAGTGTGACTGCAGAGCCAGCTTTCTCACCATGACAGTACACAGTCTAAGGGTGGAGGCATTACGGAGGTGACTTAGAAAGAAAGCTCTTACAGAGCTTAGATCAAGAAACTTCTAAGCTCACAAAATGTGCTCCCTAGGCTCCTATCATCAGGTAGGAATTCACATTGTTCTCTTTTTGCTTTTACGAATCAGACCATCTTTTTCAGAGGGCTTCTTACTACCTCCCCTTCTTCACCTCACACATTCAATTATTCACCAGCATGGGTTTCAGATAATCAAAGAATTTAGAAGTCTCATTGTGATAGAAAATATAAGCTATTAAGATCTGGGACTTGTTGAATATATCAGGCTTCCTGAGTCTGAAAAAATGTTAATCTGGGCCTGGATGCTTTGGAATTTTTACTTAATTTTGGCATATAGATTTTTTTAAAATATTTATTTTTTAGTTATAGGTGGGCACAATATCTTTATTTTTAAATTTTATTTTTATGTGGTGCTGAGAATCGAACCCAGTGCCTTACGCATGCTAGGCGAGCTCTCTACCACTGAGCCACGGCCCCAGCCCTGGCATATAGATTTTTGTGTATAGCACTCTGCTGACCCTTAATGCTTTCATTCCTATTCAGTGAATATGGATTTATGTAATAGTAAGCAGAGTGATTGGCTAATTATTCAGAGAGAGACTGGATTACACTGGAGAAATTATGGTGGGAGCAAGGTATTTGTGGTAGTGCTTTGCCAGTCACTGGTTGCAGTAGAATCACTTTAGTGGCTTTAAAAAAATATATTTTTACCACAACCAACCAACCTACCTACTTTCCTTCTCTCCTTTCTTGTTTTCTGATGTACAACTAGGTATAGGAACCACTTACTGTTCTCATTGCCTGCTCTCTACCTCTGGCTCTAAATAGGAGAACGTAGTTAAGTTAGATCAAAAGAAGCTGACAGAATGGGGGGGTCTAGGACAAAGATGAGAGGTAGAAGTTGTTCTTGGACAGTTCCACAAGCCACTTTGCCTGGACGGTACAAATAGCAGGCCCAGAAAGATTTGAGGAAAATACATACCTGTTTTCCAGCAGTTTCACATTCTTGACCAAGGTACAGAGAAGGTTGAATCTCCTAAGGCACCCTTTCTTTGCGTTCTTTTGTGGGACATGGATGAAACTTGAACATAGATGTGGCAGTAGCTAAAGCTTTTGTGTATGAGGTCACTGATCCTTAGCTGTAGAACCCAGCCAGTCCAGATTTGCAAAAAATCTTTCAACCATTTTGGTTAAGCAGTTGCTGTAAATTTGAATTTATTGACAAGTCTAGTTGAGTTGATAGAGAAGGAGATAGAAGTGGAAAAGACTTTGTGGTTACCTGAAATCATAAATGACAGCAGCTGAAATCCTGGTCCAGGAAGTGCTAATTTTTAATATTCCCTGAAAATGTTCTAAGATGATGGAGTGAATAAACTGTACATCGCTTTCCAAGAACTGAGGATAGTTGTAGTTAGTTGTAGGGGAAATTCTGACCCTCCTTATCTCCTTTCACAAGCCCCTCCTCTGAGGCTTGGCCACACTTAGTGGTTTGGGTGTGAATGTAACCTCTTAGATGTTTCCAGATGTATTGTTGCCATGGCAGCATGTTTGTCATCCCACTGTTTCCCTCACAGCTCAGTTAACAGTCTGTTTCAGGATAAGATATATGCTGTATGGACAGAAGCAGCTAGTAGACATTCTCTTCCATCTAAGAAACCAGGCCAGTTGGCTCCCTACTTCATTCCTTCCTGATCTCTCAGCTACAATAGATACCCACCTCTGCCTCTGAAATTGGATCCTTGGAAGTCTTGTTTCCCCAAGGGTTTGATCTTCTTCACTTCCCATCAGAGCACATTTCTTTCTTCAGGAATGGGAGTTGTGGATACTTCCTCCTCTTAAGTTTCCCTCATCTCAGTGATGCAACTGGAAGGCTCTAGGCTCTTTCTCCAAGTATAATAGGGGAAATTACCCAAGAGCCAAGCAGGTGGTGGGTGCAGATTTAGCTAAAGAGAGGAGAATGCTTTCATAACAACCAAGGTGAGATGGTCTGTTGAGAGGGCCTACCCTTAGAGCGTCTTTCAGAGTAAGAGAACTCAGTATTTGTAACCCAGAAGTCATCACTAAACATAAACATTGCTATTTAGGAGCTAAGTGATAGGGTTCAGGAATAAAAGAGGGGAGTAGGGATTTTTAAAGGAGGGTGTTAATAGAGTTTTTATAGAGGAATAAAAACTTCAACAGCTGACCTAAAACCCCTGAATACTTACCTCTATAAAATTCAACAAATCTCTCTTCACATGAGCTCATGAAGGAAAAGGGGGCTAGTGGGGCAATATGAATGAAAGTTACTCCTTGGGATCATCTGGTATTTCCCCAAGGACTCTGCTCTTGGAGACAGTTTCCTAGGGGTGAGCCATGGCATTCACTACAGAGTTCTGTCTAAGGACCCAAATACCTGATTATTGGTGATCCTGCTTATACCTTAAATGAATGATTTAACGTTTATAAAATTGTGCCTCTCTTAAAACATAACCTTTGTCTTAACAGCAGCCAGTAAGGAGGAGAAGGGGAGAGAGCTCGTTTGACATTAATAACATTGTCATCCCAATGTCTGTTGCTGCAACAACTCGAGTAGAGAAACTACAATACAAGGAAATCCTTACTCCCAGGTAAAAGCCTTGAATAATCAGCTCCTCTCCCTTCTATTATTGCCCTTTTCCCCTCTTCTCTTCTGACCGACCTTCGGGTTCTGTCTTCTCTCTTAATCTCCCTCTCCTCCCCCCCCTTTTTTTTTTTTTCTCTCGCTTGCTTACCATATTAGGAATAGGACCCAGGGCCTCAAAACTGTTAGGCAAGCACATCCCCAGTCCCTTTTTTTTTTTTTAATTTTATTTTGAGACATACATGGTCTTACTAAAGTTGCCCAGGCTGGCTTGGAACTTGATATCCTCCTGCCTCAACTCCTAAAGTATGTGGGATTATAAGCATGTGCCACTGAGTCCACGGGGTGTTCTGTCTTCTCTTTAAATGAAAGTCTTACCTAGGGAGTGAAATTGTTTCTCTATATAATTTTCTCTTGTTACATTATATGACCAGAGGTCACAGCCTGGCAGGCCACTGACCATGATTAGCATATAAACATGTTTTATTAAAATACTGAATTTGTTTTCAAATTCAAGGCAGAATTATTTCCAATATTTGTTGATTTTATCTGTTACTTACATTCTCATAATGGTACCAGTCCTGAATAGTGTTTGTCCCCTTTAAAAGAGGTTCCCTTGCTTTGGTTTGTTAGTCTGTCATCCCCAACCCCAGCTTGCTGCTTGTGTTTCTGGCCTTTGTGGGTATTTGAATATGAGGACTTTTTTTTTTGAGGTCTCAGGGTTACAGAGGATGAGCTGTGATAGGGCTGAGCCTTCCCCAAGCAGCCTGCCTACCATCTAATGGGACTTTTTTTCCTTCTTGGTTTTGCAGCTGGCGGGAGGTTGATCTTCAGTCTCTGAAGGGGAGTCCTGATGAGGAGAATGAGGAGGTAATGGCATGGTCATACTCTCTTAGAAGAAAACACACTCTTGGGTACACATATTCAAGATGCCTCAAGACCTGTGGGTGTCAAGTGAAAGCTCCGTGTATACCTGTCCTGTCCAGGAAGAACCTAGAAAGGGGTGGGACTGGTTCTAGAATTGCTATATCCATACTTAAACTCAGCTTCCTGGGGGAAAGAGAGACTCAATGAAGCTGTTCTGTTGCAGATCGAGGACCTATCTGATGCAGCCTTCGCCGCCCTGCATGCCAAATGTGAGGAGATGGAGAGGGCACGGTGGCTGTGGACCACGAGTATGCCACCCCAGCGGCGGGGCAGCAGGTAATGGGGCAGGCACAGGTTCCCAGGGCCTGTGGAGGGAGGGTGGTGGATAGGGAGTTTGGGCCCTGCCTGTGTCCACAGAATTGCCAGTGCACAGGAGTGTTTGCTTTTCATATCATCTATTGACAATGTCCTAGAATTAATTACAAGTTTCTAGTATTTGTTGGAACTAGGAGAGGAATGTCTAAGTCAGATGCTACATTCTTGCTGAGTAGTCCCTGTCTGGTTCTCATAAATTATTGTGATTGCCTATGGCTATTGAAGGCCAGTCATGGTGATTGAGCTGAAGGAGTTTTGAAGGCCTCACCACAAGTTAACCCTCTTTGAGTTAGTTCTCTGAAGTGGGAAACCACAGTTCACTATCTCACACATCACTATCCTGTTTCTATTTATCCGAGTTTGGACTAAATTCCCTATTCCCGTGAATTCACTATGTTCTCTGCCAGGCATTAGCCCTGGGCATTGTTTAGCCCTGACTTTCTCAGGATGATAGATGTACATAGTTCTCAGATGTTATGTTTTGTATCTCCTACTCTGGGCAGTAGTAGAATGAAGCGAGATTTGCTAAATCTTAAGAAAACACGCTGGTATCAGTCAGCATCAGTGTCTGTTGGTAGGGATGCTTTTTTCATACGTCGTCCTCACCCCTCACCCACCCAGAAATACACAGACAAGAACTCCTCCATTAGCCTACACTCACAGCTGCATTTCTTGGTGTACAGGTCTTACAGGTCATCAGACGGCCGGACCACCCCACAGTTGGGCAGTGCCAACCCCTCCACTCCACAGCCCGCCTCCCCTGATGTCAGTAGTAGCCATTCTCTGTCAGAGTTATCCCACGGTCAGTCTCCTAGGAGCCCCATTAGCCCAGAACTGCACTCGGCACCTCTCACCCCTATGGCTCGGGACACTCTGCGACACTTAGCCAGCGAAGACACCCGTTGTTCCACACCAGAGCTGGGATTGGATGAACAGGTGAGGTATACCACCTTTGCCTGGGGTTGGCAAAGTGGCGGGTGGAATCAGGAAGGGGTAGTACCTGCAGAAAATGAATCTTCATTTTTATGATTCCTTCTCCCCATTTGGAGCAGGTGGGATCATGCACTTCAAATTGATTTTCTGCAGGTACAAGGGAATTGTACCAACCATTGTTAAATGAGTGCCCACTCTGTGAAGGGTCTTCTGAATTGGCTCAGAAAATCCAAATAGACTGGTCATGGGCTTCAGTCCACAAGCTTTGGGGCAGGAAGCTGGCTTGGGTCCTAACCAGAGCAAATTGTCTGCCCACAGTCTGTCCAGCCATGGGAGCGACGAACCTTCCCCCTGCCATACAGTCCCCAGGCAGAGTGTGAGGACCAGCTGGATGCACAGGAACGGGCAGCCCGCTGCACTCGCCGCACCTCAGGCAGCAAGACTGGTCGGGAATTAGAGGTGGCACCCACCTCGCCTCCCATTGTCCCCCTCAAGAGTCGGCATCTGGCAGCAACGGTCACAGCTCAGCGCCCAACTCACAGATGAGCTGGAGATGAGAATCTAAACAGACTCACTAACTATTGGCATTAAAGCTTCAGAAATCTCTGCGTTTGATATTCAAACATCATATGCCGGAAATTTTCACAGTTTTTAGTGAATTTAAGGAATTTAGATCCTCCTTTGGTATTTTTTTTTTTCCTCATTTTGATTTTTGTTTTGTTTCTGTTTCCATGTTTTCTTGTCACCCACCTGAGCACTTCCTCTAGTTGGCAGACAAGTTCAGGATAAGACCCTGCTGGCCTGGTCCTGGTACATCCTCTGCGCTGTTGAATCACTGGACTTAGCAATGTTAGATGATCACCCCTCTCCTTCATACCTGTGGGCAGGGTAGAAAAGCCAAAGGGCAGAGGGGATGGAAAGCTCCAGTTCAGCATGGCCTTTTGGTTTAGGATGGGACAGAACAAGGGCACTCTGGGCTCTTACTCCCCTTCCCTCCCATCTGTGGCTTGGCTAAGCTCTAGTGTTTCTGGCTGGGTCCCCCTACCCCCGCTTTGGTTTTCTGTGCTGGAGAACCCCATCAGAGCCTCTTTGCCATAATTGCCAGCTGTTCTCACTGAGCTCTCAGCCAGCAGGATGGCTCCCCCTTGTCACCCAGGTCTTCAAGACCTGTTTTCAGTTTCATCTGCATTTGGTCATCTCTTTCTTGACTCCTTAACTGCAGTAACCTGGCTGCGGCTGCTCAGGTTCCCCCATCCTGCCCCTTCCTGCCCTTCCTCGTCTGCTCCCCATGCCATGCACACACCCACACACATCAGTCCTCCCATGTTGGCCTGGTCTGTGAAGGTAGGGTCTCCTTAACCTCATCCCCACTCCCCTACAAACTAGGAGATTGGGGATGCGAGCAGCCATCTCCCCTGTATAATTTTGCTTTCACTGACTGGTTCACTTTGTCATGTTTCCTTCACCTCTATTTCCCTGTCAGTGTCAATTAGACTCTTCCTCTTTCACGCTCCCCTTGCCTGTGGAACATTGTCTGGACCTTGCTGTGGTTTTCATCACTCCCCATCACCCTCCTTTGTTAACCTTGTGCTTGTCTCATGTGTAATCACATCACCAAAAAGGGGGCGGGGGGAAGGACTTTTTTTTTCTGCCATTTTGTAATCGTATAAAAATTATAGGCAAAACTGCTTAATGGTTGGGGTTTTTTCACAATTTTCAACATTAGTGATTTTTTTTTTTTCTGTTTGCAAGTTAAAGGGTTTGTCATTGTTTCTTTAAACAACAATAATGCACCATATCCCTATGCATAAAGTGCTTCTTCTATTTATAAGGTTGAAAATTCTGAATAACCCTTTTAGCATTGTAAAAAAAAAAAGAAAAGAAAAAAAGAAAAAAAAAACAAAAATTAAAAAAAAAACTTGTATTTTGTAAATATTTTCTTTTCCTGCTTTGAGCTGTGTAATGGCAGCGAAACATGTAGCTGTCTTTGTTCTATAGAAATGCTTTTCTTCAGAGAAGCTGATCTTTGTTAATGTCTTGATTCTGTTCGCAAAGCACAGACTAGTGCTTAAAAAAAAGGAAGGAAAAATGAAAAAAATAATAAAAAAAAAAGAGTTACAGAATATTCGGTGTCAGCCCTTTATTGACCTACGAGACTTTTATGTCCATGGCAGTGATGGTAGCTCTGGAGGCAGCTCTGCTGGAGCCAGACTTTGGGGAGTCTGGCTGGCTCTGAACCTTGGAGACCTTTGTCTTCTGGGAGCATGGCAGGTTCATGTGATGGTCATGAGAGAGGACATGATGGTTTTCACTGAGATGAGGGGTACCAGGAGGAGAGAGGCCAGCACAGACTGTCTGATCTTACTGAGTGAAAGCAGTCCATCTGTGGCCTCTCAGTGTTCTTTCTCTAGTGAGGCCAGCACTGTATGTATCTAAATCTAAATTGTTCTTTAATGAAGATTTTATTTTTCACCATTTAACTTTTCTGGAGTTGGGAGTCAATGAGAATATGTATAATTTTAATGGTACCTGGATTGTTTCTTTGGCCTGCCACCTAAGAGATCACAACATATTTCTCCTGAGGAGGCTAAGTGCTTGATTTCCTTTGTAGAAGACGAATGAGTGGGTGGACCCGGTTCTCTCTCTCTCCTCCTTTCCATAGCAGTGAAGCCAGAACAGCAAATGAGGCTGCAATCATGGCTCTGAAAGCAGTCATTCTGAGAGCATCCCTTGTTAGCTAGCTGGTGCTGCTGCTTTAGTTGGAATTAAGATCTGCTTGACTGAAGTAGCTCCCAGAAGTATCATGACCTTGACGTGATTACTAAGGAATAATATGGTGAGTTAATCCGCAATAAGGTTCCAAAGGAAAGAAGACAGCTATGTGTATAAACCTGTAAGGGATCTAAGCCATTCATTCAGGTAAATGACTTATTTTCTGCTTTAGTCTCAAGCCTCTAGACTAATCTCAGGTTCGAGTGCACTGGCATGGGTCTTAATGCTTTAGTACAGTATTGTGAGTTTAATGGGTATTCATTGCCCATTTGAGTTGGTCGGAAAGGTTTGCCAGAACTAGAATGAAAGCATCAACTGAGAATGACCAAGTATGGATTCTCTTTTCACCTTCAGGTCCCCAGAAAGAGCTGTTAAGCCTCATGTCCAGCTTTTAACAAAATGGTTATTTCTTGTTCTAAGTTTAAGTGTGAAAAAGAACTTGGGAGTCATACATTCTGTATAATTTTCTTGTCCTTGGAATCCATGAGCCAGAGATCTTATTTTTTCTTGTCCTTGGAATCCATGAGCCAGAGATCTTATTTAATCAGAGTAATAACTTTATTTCCAAATTCACTTTTACAGCAACAGTCAGTGTAAATCATTTGTTAAAACACACAATACACTATATGGACATTCACAGACAGAAAGCTAAGCTAAAATGATTTTATGTCCCTCCCCCCACCCTCAAAATTACCAAAGAAGTTATGGGACTTGCAAGTGTCGGAAATCATCCTGCCCAGCACAGCAGATTCATGGACTAAGTCCATTAGGAGGTGATACTCTGGGTCAGTGCCCAGGGTAACCCTTTCCAAAGGTGGAGAGAAGTTGGGAGGCTCATAAAGCCACAGACCTGTAGCTGATAACCACCTCTTTCCTCTGTCCCCAACTCTTGTTTTATTTCAGGAACAAAGACAAGGGAAATAAAGGAAGAGATAGCTGCTAGAAGTTAGGCCCAGTGGGAGAGGTGACGCTGAGGTGCCAATAGCTTAGAGGAAAGGATGCCAGGGTCTTGGGGAGGTAAGATTGTGGATTCAGAACTCCACCAAAGTGCAGCAGCAGCAGGCCAGAGCAACAGGATCTCCAATCTCCAGTTCCTACACAAGCCTCATAACTGGCTGGGAGGGGTTGGAAAACTAGCTAGCTGCCTCTGCAACTGGGAAACCCTTTCAGAACAGCACAGCCCCATGGCCTCAAGCCCATGGCACCCCCCTCCCTCTAAGCAGTTGTGGTTGAAATTATGAAAAGGGCTTCAAGGCAACCTAATTGCGCACTCCAAACCTTCCCTTTGCCCATATGAACTGTCTTATATGGTCCTCCCCCTCCCCCCATAGCACAGCAAGCAATCATAAACAGGATGCAGTCTCACCACAGAAGTCAGTTTAAATGGAACTATTGATAAAGTGAATCGAGAGCTTGAATGAACCAGGCATATAGTATATCCTATCTAGCCCACCCAGGGACATTGGCTATGGAGGTGGGACAAATGGAGGGAGAGGGGAGTGCCCAGCCCTGGGAGGATTGTCCTCATTAAAATGATAGGTAGTTACCTATCAGCACTGAACTGATCACTCAAAACCATGATGTTTAGGCTGACCCCAATAGCCCATCCCATGAGGGAGATTGCAGAGCTCTCCATGTAAGACCCACGGTGCTGAAGAGCAGGGCATGAAAAACAGCAGGAGGACAAGAAGAGGCGCAAGAAGAAACAGCTGAAATCGGTGGCAGTGATGAAGGGTCACATATCTTTAAAACACACTTTCTATCTGGGAGTCAGGACAGTAGGAAACCTCACTGTAGAAAGTTAAAGACCCAGGTAATTTGCATGGGCAGCCCTGCCCACCCAGCCCCAGGATTGCCTTTATCTGTACCCAAATTGGAAGCAGCTGAGTATCCACAAAGGCAGCTTCCTTTTTTCCACAGCAACAGGGGGCATGGGAAGAAATGGTGTCTTCTAGCTAGTTCCCCTTCCTCTGTCAGTATAGCCCAGGACCCCTTGGAGCCTGTCCAGGCTGGCAGCAATCCATCTCAGTCCCTACTGATGCGGAGGCCCAGGTTGTCTCTCATGAGGGCGCAGACCAAGGGTAGAGCTTCTGGGGGCTACAGCTCTCTCCCCACCTGAGGCTGTCACCAGAGAGGACCATCTCCATGCTGCAAACCAGGCCAGCCACAGCCTGCCCTGACAAGAAAGCCTGAGAGACAGAGGGAGGCACCATGTTTCTGTCCTAGCCCTGTGCCTCCGGCCTTCTTCACAGCTGACAGCCCTCAGGTGTCAGAATCTGGTCTCTGTTGGGTCCCAGATGCTGAAGAAACCCTTTCAAAACTTAGGTGGCCCCTGCAGGGTACAGCTACACCTGCCTCTTGGAGCCAAGTACCTGTATGAGGGTGAGAGACATCTAGGACCCTCATGAGGGTGGGCTAGAAGCCTCTTTACAAGCGTTTTGAGATGCATGCGTCCGGTTTTTTTTTTGTTGTTTTTTCTTTTTTTTTTTTTTTTTTTTTTTTTTTTTTTTTACACTCACTATCTTAGTCACTCTTGTGAATCCAAACAGACAAATCCAACTACAACGCAACAGGGTGCAGACGGGGGAGGGAAGGGCAACATCTATGTATATGTCCAGCTGCTCCAGCAGATCAAACAGCATTGCTTTCAACTGGGACTGGGGAAAAGAATCATTTCCGAGGGGCATGTTCCCTGCTTGAGGGTGTGGAGGGCTGATTCCATGCACATGGAGTTGAACGGTGGCTGGGCTCTGGGAGGCTGGCAGTTAAGCTGGGGTGGAAGTGAGGGACAGAGAGTGTGGCCCTGCCCTGGGAGTCACCTGCCCATCCTTGTGTTATTATTACTAGCAACCAGGACATCCTACCTCCTGCTACCAGCTCAACACAGGAAGGGAACCAAGCCTATCAGACAAGTCAACAAGGAAGGCAAAAACATCTAGGGTCATGGCCAACCCCACCCTGGTTCATACCAGTTGGGTCAGTGGGACTTATAGCAAGATAATGAATTCCAGCCCTTGTACCTGGACTTTGCCCTCCCTTGATTTTACCCTTAGTGTAGAGTAGGTGCAGCCAGCATTTAACCAGTGTCCATGACTGGGGATTGGGGGAGGCTGGGCACTCGGGACAGTGGCATAATGAGGGGTACGGCAGTGATTGGGCTCTCACGGCAGACATACGAGTACAGAGAGACAGGCAGAGGGGGCTGCAGTGGCCATGGAAAGGATGGGAGGCTCAGTACCCACCTCCCAAATACTACCCCTACCCCACACACTCCATGGATGCCGGAGGCCCAGGCTTGGGAACAGGAGGATGTCCCCCAAGAGGCACAAGTCCTTACAAAGAGAACTGGTTAGCCCTGAAGTCCCAGATCTGTGAGGTGGTCAAAATCGTGGCTGCAGTTCCAACCTTCAGAACTCAGTCAATCGGGGCCTTTGGGCCCAGGGCCCCTCAGCTCAGGACCCCCCACCTGCAGGGAGGAGAGCCAGCGCTCTGGGATGGCAGGGTCAGTCTTCTCCAAGGAAGTAATCCACAGGGTGCCACCCTCCCGCCCACCTTCCTTCTGTTCAGTGCCTCTTCTCCCACAGGCCACCTTCCAGAGGGGGCAGCAGACCCCGGGCCAAGAAGTAGCGCAGGCCGCCCCACCTGGCCCCTCGCCCCACTCTGCCCCACAGGGCACCCTAGGTTGACATCCTCGGCCTGGGGCTGCAGCTCACCAGGTTTCCCATCCTTCGTTGCTGCCGCTGTCCCTGTGACACCCTCAGATGGGGTTCGAGGTGGCGGGCGCCCCAGTCCCTTAAATTGCCCGGAAGCAGCTCTCAGAGCCTCTCCTTCGCCCTCTTCTACTCAGAGGGGAAAAAAAAAGAATCGAAAGGAATTGCCCACGGAAATGTTGGTGTGGCCATGTTTTTACATGTTTGTGTGTGTTTTGTTTTTTGAAAAATATTTTATTGTTAGCCCACCAATCAATTTGGAAAGATGAAATTTGCTCTTATTCCCATCACTGATTTTGAAGTCCCGAGCCAAAGCCGAGCCACAAAAGCAGGTTAGGTGACGACCCGGTTGACCCATCTGTGAGGAGCAGCGGGGGAGGGCAGAGGGCGAGGGGCCAGATCATTATTCTTTTTTTTTCCACACTCTCTCACTCTCTCTTCTCTCCACGATTATTGACTGCCCCGGGGGCCTGATCACAAACCCTGCTTGGCCAGGGAGGCAGACACTTCGTCGGCTAGCGTGGCGAGCTGGGGCGAGTCCACCATGTTGATGCTACCGGTGGAGGAGACGTTGCTGAGGTGCCTGGGAGACGTGTCCCCGGACACCACTGGTGACTTGTACACGATTTCTGCCCCGTGGTCCGTCTTGGCTTTGGCATTCTCTCGGAAGGTCAGCTTGTGGGTTTCGATCTGCAAGGAGAGTCAGGGTGTGACAAAGTGCCAGGGAGAGAAGGACAGGCCCTGAAGACCCCACCACCACCAGGGACTGGCCTAGCCTTCCAACTGGCCGTGCTTGTACCAACAGTCCTTTCCTCACCTGCTTCTCCAGACACAATAACCAGTGTGTTTCTTGTGTACCTTCCAGAGATGTCCCACACACATACAAATGGGTGCCAGAGTCCGAACATACATGTGTGTTCAGCAGCTATGGTAACAATATACACATGCTTTGCACTTTGATTTTCAAACTCACTTCCTTCTGCTATCAGGACATACTGCTCAGCACATCAATACAGCAGAGGGACCAAAACTTACTCCCCAGCATATGGCCATTTAGGAGCTTCCAGTCTTTTTCAGAAGCCCAGAGTGCTAGGGCTTCGTTTATGCAGAAGAACATTCGAATAACCTTGAGTGACCTTGTACACACATCATTTTACACTCATGTAAGTGTCTCCACTTCTGTCTCCTAGAAGTGGAGACGCTAAGTCAAAAGATAGGTTTCTCCCTTGTGCTGGGGATGGAACCCAGGGCTTTGTGCTTGACAAGCACGGGCTCTACCACTGAGCCCCACACTGCCCCCCACATTATGTTCCGCTAGATTATCACCAACTTGCAAGTAAAGGTGTTGAAGGAGAAGCTTCAGAAAGTCAAGGGCCATCTCCAGAGCCACCTATGCCAGCCTGGAGCTTCACAAACGCCTTCCCAGTGCCAGGGACTGATGAGTCTGAGGTGGCAGCAACTATGGGCAACTCTCCTTGGTACGCTAGAAGAAATGACGAGATGACCTTCCTAAAGGGACAGCAACAAAGCCAGGAGTCCCAAGGATACCAGGAAATTCAGAAGTAGGAAGTTTTAGCTGGAAATATGAGTTTGCATAATATTCTCTCCTGATTTACTCAAAGTAGACAACACCATAACTCCATCTTATGTTGGGTCCCAGACTCTTTGAGTATCTGCTGAAGCAAGAAAAATGTGAACACATGTGCTCCCACACACGGTGCCTCCTTTCCACGCAATTTCAGGCGTCCATGAAAACCCAAGTGAAGAGCCTGATTTCAGTGGTTTGATGTGGGTATAGATAAAAGCCAGACTCCCATTCAGGATAGGTGCATATGTCATTCGTTCTGGGTCACTGTTTTGAAAAGAGGACCCTTTCATACTACTGTACTTGAAAGGTTATTTGAGAAAAGCTGTGATAAGAACTTTTATGCTAATTTTTTTTCCTGTGATGCTGACAGTGGAACCCAGGGCCTTTCTCATACTAGGAAAACGTTGTGCCTCTGAGCTACACCCCCAGTAGCAATTAATTGTTTTTATTGTTGCTGTTTGTAAGTGCTGTTTCTTTAAAAAAATTAAAAAATAGAAGGACAGATTCCTGGGAATGTCCAAAAATCCCGCAAACTGAAAGGAACCCATGGGGCTGGTCATGTGCTCTGCTCCCTGTTTGCAATTTTGTTTATCATAGTAGGGAAATGGGGGACTGAATCAGAAGAGGATCCCCTGGGATGAGGACAGTGTGTTCTGAGCAGACGCAGGGCCCTGCCCACCCTTTCTGGGTCATCACAGAGATGAATTAGAAACAGGAGTTGAGAAACTTGGCTTAGACGTGGCTCCTGCAAGTCACCAGGCCCCTTCCAGACGCAGGCTCATTTGGGGCTCACAAACTCCCCAGGATTTGTGTATTTCCATCCTGTCTTGCTAAAGGAGAAATTGAGGCTGAAAATCTTTGGGTCTTGCCTCAATCACAACAGACTTCCAGAGTCAAGCCCAGAACTTACCCCAGGGCACAGAAGTTTCCAGAGACTGGTGGAAGCCTTCTTTAACCCGGAGGATCTCCAATGCCCAGGCCTGTCCCAGATCCACTGAGTCAGATTCTGGGGAGAGGCCAGGCCTGATGACCACCAAAGTACCTTAACCTAGAGCAAGTGGGGAAAGTCCCACAATTTGGTGACGTTCCCATAACTGTTCCTTGTGTACCAGGGCTGACCTGGGGGATGGCTACTTGCCTTTGTGGGTGTTTATGAACCCCAGGGCCTGGCACAGTGGTTCTCACCTTTGCACTAAAAAATCACCTGAGAGGGACTGTGGTTGTGGCTCGGTGGTAGTGCGCTTGCCTCACATGTGTGAGGCCTTGTGTTCGATTCTAGGCACCACATAAAAATAAATAAAATAAAGGTACTGTGTCCATCTACAACTAAAAAATCATTTGAGAGCTGTTATTAAAAAACCTCATTTACCCAGTTGCACCTGAGACTAATTAGCATCTTCAGGTCTCAGATTTGTTAGAACTCCCATGTGACTGCAATGGGCAGCTAAGGTCTAGCCCGATGTCCTGGATGCTGCTAAGACAGTCCAGGCAAGATCCCTTGCTTTCCACCTTTGGAAAACTAGACAAGCCTTGACCAGGCAATGAACACCCATATCCAAATGTGGCCTCCTTCCTGCCCTTCCCCCTTACCTTCTTATTTCCTCCTCCAGGGACATGGGTGATATTATCCAGAGACCCAATCTTCGACTGGACTCTATCCTTGAAGTCCAGTTTCTCAGATTTTACTTCCACCTGGCCACCTCCTGGAACACAACACACACAGCAGTTTCTTGCCATCTCTCCCTGTGGTTTAGTAGACTAAGCATCCACTGAATGAGAGCTGCAGTCTGCGGAGCCAAATGCCAGGGGCTGCTGGGGCACCGCAAATTTAAGTGAGACCCCAGGGCTCTGGAGGGGAGTCCTTGACGACAGGACAGCACTGGGACTCCAAGGGGGACCGAGCCAGTGATTCAGGGAGAGTTGTTGAGATTCTCCTTTGTTTAGAATGTGTTTGGGTATAAGTACATCCTTGCAAAGAGCTTGAAAACATTGCATCATCTCTCTAATCAAGGTGTACATCAAATATTTACTATGAAAACTCTTCTTCCTTAGATAATGCAAAGGTAAATGACAGCTCAGTTGGGGAGAAATTATGCTAACTTCTAAATTGGTTGACTTCCAAAAAGTGAGATCTTCCCATATCAATATCCTGTAATATTGCCCTGAGAGATCTCAGAATCAAATTAACTGTTAAAATGCACACTAAAAACGGAAAGACCCCCAACCCTTTCTCCCTCCTTGACCCTTTCTTTATCTTTTTCAGGGAACAAAAGATTGAATCCAGGAGTGTTTTACTCCTAAGCTACATCTCCAACCCTTTTATCTTTTAGACAGGGTCTTGCTAAATTGTCTAGGCTGGTCTCGAACTTGTGATCCTCCTGCCTCAGCCTCCCAAGTTGCTAGAATTACAGAATGCACCATGGCACCCAGCCCTCCTTGACCCTTTATGCCAAGCCCAAGAGTGGGAGACAGGGCACGAGGATTTCTTGAGGAGGATGAAGACAGCCACTCACAGCACATGAGGATGGTTGCCCCAGCTGTGGCGTAGCGCAGTTTTCTCTGATACTCAACTCCTACAAAATGTCCAGGGAGCCAGACAAAAAAAATCAGACATGTCCTGGTCCAAATTGACTTTCTCTTTCCAGTAAAGACCTCTGCTCCAGATAGAGCCTGAGGGAGGCAGAAGTCCCTGCTGTGGACTCTCATGTGCCATTTGGAATCTATGCTGCAGACACCATGGGGCACGCACGCCAGAAATCCCAGGGCCTTGGGAGGCTGGAGGATCACAAGTTCAAGGCCAGCCTTGGCAATTTAGTGAGACCTTTGGCAAGTTAGTGGGACACTGTCTTAAAATAAGAATGGCTAGGGATGGATGTAGCTCAGTGGTAGGGCACCTTGGGTTCAATCCCCACTACCAAAAAAATATCTATACCTGTGCTGTTCAATATGGTCACCGCTGACTGACTGCGGCTATTTACATTTTAATTAAATAAAATTATTTCAATTCTTCAATTGCATTAGCCCCATTTCAAGTGCTCAATAGCCTCCTGTGGTTACTGGCTACATTGGACAGCACAGGTGTACATTTCTGTCACTGCAGAGAGATGAAGGGCGCACTGATTTCCTTACATGTGGGATAGGAGGGAGAGTAGCATGGGGGCTCTCCAGTGGCCTCGTTTTCTATTTAAACAAAGTCACAGCAAGGGCATGGCAATAGCCCAGGGGTCTCATGTTGTAGCTGATGCGGGTGGTGAAGTATCCCCCATGTTGGATGGGAACCAAACTAGGCCATCCATATAGCTGGCCTTCAGGGGCACCCTAAAGGCACCGTGTACAAACTGCTGGAGAATCAGTCACAGGTTGGGGCTCGGGACCAGCATCCCCCCTCCCTCCATGCCTTATCTTAGCCAATAAGGCCCTGCTCAGGAGCAGCTGGGGCACCCACGCCTCCCAGGCCCCAGCAAGCTCTACACACTCTCCTGCAGGATCCAGGCAACAAATCCTTCCCAGCACTCTGCCCCTCCCTGCCCCACCCCAGGCCCTTCCCGTCCCAGAGGGCTACCTGGTTTATGATGGATGTTGCCTAAGGAGCCGCACTTGGAGGTCACCTTGCTTAGGTCCACTGGTTTGTAGACTATTTGCACCTGGAAGTGAGAAAGAGCAAGACAGAGAGAGAGAGAGAGAGAGAGAGAGAGAGAGAGAGAGAGAGAGAGAGAGAGAGAGAAGGAGAATAAAGAGGGATTATTTTATTATGGGTGTGACAATGGAAAGCATCTGTGTGAGCCTGGGCCGCTGGGTCAGTGGTTCCCGTCTGCCATTAGGAACACACCCAGTCAGGGTGGAAAAATGAGTTGTTGTTGAAATTTGGCCAGTTCTGCCCCAAGAGAGCTGGGTCCTGATGGACTAACTGTGGGATTGCAGCCTCTGCAATCCTTGCAGAACAAAGACCCTCAGGGAAACCGGGGGACTCTCGGTCATTGTGCTGGGCCACCCTGGTTATTTAGCAAACAGTTAAATGTAAAAATATTACTCCCTTGCTGACAGGAGCCTGACAGGCCACATCCAGTGGGGGCATAAAGGAAGAAGGGATCCATGTGATCTGTATTTGCAGCCTTTGCAAAACCTGCTTGGGGAGGCCAGAGTGCGGGGTGAGCGGGCTCCCTGGGAGAAGAGGCTGCATGAGGACTGAGGGTGGGCTCCATTCTGGGACGCTTCCTCAGAGGCCAGCACCCCCAATAGAACAGAGATGGTCAGCAAGTGAGACCCAGTGGGACTCAGTGACTCCCGGTAAGAACCAGCTGGCGCCTGAGAACGTGTGTCCAGGACGCTTAAGCCTCTACCAAGAGGAAGAAAGCAACACCAACAGGACAGGCAGGCACACAGCAAAATCCACACACCCGAGTGCCTCGGCAAGTGTGGGCACACTCGACACGGGGGAGGCCTGTGGGCTCAGAGCCAGCCTTACTGCCAACCCTCCCATGGGAAACGATGCCCCTGAGCTACCCCTGATCTCAGCTCCCCCAAGGGACCCCGGGATGGGATCTCCTGAAGGCAAGTCTCTTGTAAAGCCGTAGCTTAGAGGGCCTGGTGGCAGGTCACTCACTGGCTGATAACCTCCCCAGGTCCTGAGGCTCCCACGTAGACCCCCTTTGAGGTCACCTGAGGGCACAGGAGGCTCACCCGCACACTCTGGGAGGAGGAGGCCTTGTATGGGAGAATAACAGAGCAAAGGAGGGGCTTTTCCTTAGGTCTAAATGAAACAATCCCAGTAATCTGACTTCAAAGTCGGGCTGGCCCTTGCTGTTTGCTGAGGGGCTGAGGAAGACAGGAATGTGCACAGGAAGGACGCAGGGGCAGCAGCCTGCACCTGTGGAGGCGGGCCGAGGGATGAGCACGGTAAGGACCATCTTCAAACAGCTCTGGGGGGCAGCCCGAGCTCTGGGGCGGACCCTGAAGGAGGTGGACAGGGGCATCGGGCTCTCCTCCCTCGAGGGAGGCCCGGGCCTCACTCCCTTCCAGCTGGCTGGCCTGGGTGAGGTCCCTTGTGAGAGGGAGCCAGGGTGGTGCAGAGCAGGAGATGCTGGAACCTGGAGTGGCCAGAAGAAAAAGGGATAGATGAAGGGGGGCCCTGGGCAGGTGGTCAGTGAAACTGGGGCCACCAGAGGAGAGGGGGCGAGGAGAGCAGCCTTGGAGAGGAGCCCAGAGCCCAGCCAAGAGGCAGGGGCATCCCAAGATGGAGGAGCAGGGCCTGCCTGCTGGGAAGCCCCTCCAAGCTGGGGAGGGCCAGGGAGCAAGCCAGAGATGGGGCTTGCCAGGGACATAGTACTCCAAAATGCCACAGGCTGCCAGTGTGCAGGTGACTCCAACAGCCTTCACCAGAAAAGAGTACTGAGGTTCCTCCCGAAGCCAACAGTGGCCACTGGCCAAGGATCGCGCTCCTGGTCAGCCCGGACTAGCTTGTGGTTCCATGTAAGATGGCAGGCTAGCCCGTGGGCTGGCACAGTGCAGGACACACAGGAGGAAGTCCCCTGGTTGTCCTGGGCTCTGCAGCTTCTTTGAGCAACCACTCGTCACCAGAGGATGTGAGCCACACGGCCCCTGTGCTGCCTTCCCAGCTTCCCCTCCAGGAGTATCTGCCCTCTGCAGCCCAGGAGCCCAGATATTTGTCAATCTGGGAAGCACATGGCCTTCCTCCTCTGGCCAGGGTGGCAGTGCCAGAGAGGTCACAGCCAGAATTCCTCAAACAGCAGCTGGGCAGGGGCCCAGGAACAAGCACCTGTGACGGGGTGGGAGTGGAGGACAGAGGGACACTTAGCAGACACTGGTGAGGAAGCGTTAGTGAGGCCCCATGCGCAGCCACAGAGGCCTCAGAGGTAGGAGGCAGGGTCCAGGTGCTGGGGTAGCAGGGGCGCAGCACATTGCAAGAATAAACCCTCTGGGCTGGACGGACTGGAGGAGGACCTTCCTGGGAGCTCGTGACACTGCCAGCCAGGAGCAAGGTGCTTCCCCCAGAGACCAAGCCCCTCCGGAGGGGTAGGCCTCAGGGATCTCAAACCTCCAGCTCCCAGGGTTAGGTTTGGAGAGTGCGCAGGGAGCTGGGGAGACCAGACAGGAGACCACAAGGGCCAGCCAGCCAGGAGGGTGACAGTGTCTTTGAGCCCATGGAGGGAAGATGGGAAGTGAGGATCAGAGTCCAGTATCCCACAGGGACACACCCACGAGGATAAAGGTGCCCCCAGGGGCGTTTGGAGGCAGCCACATTGAGAAGGGCCCTAAGAGCAGTTCTCCCTCCGTCAAATGGCCAAATGACTGCAGACAGGACCTGTGGGGCTTTCCTTTGGCTCTTTGCCTCTAGAGTCCGGCTAAAGGTGGAGCTGGGTTTAAGTCTAAGCTCAGAGGTTTAGGAACTGGCCCAGAAGATGCAGGACAGCCAACCAGCCAGTTTGGACCCTCTTGCCCTTGAGGTAGGATGGTGAGACCTCTGTGTCCACTTGTCAGAACAAATGGGCCACCTGCCCACAGTGGAGCCACCTAAAGTGAAACTGCCCATCTGATGGGGGAGGAGGTGACACAGCCCAGTCTCGGGTGCTACCACCTTCAGCCCAAGTTCAAATGGGCTGTGGGGCTCCTGGGGACAGGGCCTGGGCAGTGAGTGGAGGCCATGATGGGAATCACGCTGTGAGGACCCAGCTTCTAGGGAGGGGCCAGAGAGGGGATCAGTCACCTTCCCTGTTCTCATTTTGACTTTGTTGGTTGTCCTGGGGATGGGACCCAGGGTCTCACACTTGCTAGGCAAGTGTTCTACCACTGAGCAGAACATGCCCAGTGCTTTTTGTTTTTATTTTGAGACAGGGTCTTGTGAAGTTGCCAAGGCTGGCCTTCAACCTAAGATCCTCCTGTCTCAGCCTCCTGAGAAGATGGAGTTACAGACCAGCGCCACCCAGTTGAGCCAACCTTCCCTATTCGGGCCCCCATGGCCTTCACGAGCTGGAGGGAAAGGGGGCTCCTGGATCATGAGGAAGGACACTGGACACAGGGTTAGGATTTGGAGCCCCTGGGCTGCATTTTCCTGGGGGACACGGGGAGATCCCGAGCCCGCGATGATTTATTCTGTGCAATGTTTTGCAAGTCCAGACGCTCATGCCGCTTCTCAGGAGCGCAGCGCACACACAGCGGGGCGTGGGACGGACGGACGGACGTGTGCAGGTACTCACACTGCCGCCGCCCGGGACGTGTTTGATATTATCCTTTGAGCCACACTTGGACTGGACGTTGCTAAGATCCAGCTTCTTATTAATTATCTGCACCTTTGATACCAGAAAAAAGGATGAGTGACACACCACACCCAGATCCATCTCTCTGCACCACACACCGGGCCTCCAGGAGGGCGGAGGGAGGCGCCAGGCCACGTGCGCGGCCATGGGGGGAGGGGCGGGCCAAGGCCACCCCTCCCAAGGGACAGATCTTCAGAAGGAAGGGAAGACGGGGCTGCCTGCAAGGTCTGGGGAATTGAGCTTGGTGACCTGGGATTACAACCAGATCCTCCCGGGGAGGCGGGTATTCACTTTACAGAAGGGTCCTGTGGAGCCCGTGGGGTCCTGAGGCCTGTGAATCAGAGACGGGGCAGCAGATTGGCCTGGAGGAGAAAATGAGCCCAGTCACTTGTCAACAAAAAGCCCCGTGTTCTTGTCCACACAGCCCTCCGGAGGGGGACACTGAGAGAATGCACGCGCTGTCCTCTGGCCCCGGGGGGCGCTGCACGCACCCGGAGATTTTCTTTGAAAGAAAACCCCAGACCCTCCCCTGACCTAGGATTCCGTCCCCTGGAGAAGTCTGGCTGAAGTCGCTGCACTTTGGAAATTCCCCTGGTGAATTTCCCACGCCAAGCCTGAGAAGCCCTGGCCTCTGGGTGGCCTGTGATGGGTCCCTCTCCAGGGAGGGCTCTGTGCCCTGCTGTCCCACCTCCCACCACCCACCCTCTGCCACCTCCAGCCCACCAGGCGCCTACCCGAGACTGAGCAAGTGTCCCCGCGTGTCCCCAGCTCCTGAGAGCTGCATTCCCAGGAGCTGTGACTTTGTTGACCAGGGAGACAAGGTGTGGGGACACCATTTTGGTAAAGAACGACTGTTACCCAGTTTGCCCATGAACTAGGCCAGCGGGGTTTCAGGGGAACTGAAACTCGGGCCTGGCTGCACCGCCTTCCTCCCAGGTGTCTTTCCCCAGGAGCCTGCGGTGCCCTGGTTCTTATTAATCACAGATGTAAATAACCACGGCTGCAGCTCCTAATGGAGAGCCAGCCGGGCCAAGCTGGTTTCTGAAAATTTGAAAGCCAAACCCATTCTGCAGTGGCTCCTTTTCGAATACTGTGGACAGGCTGGGACTGGGGTCAGGGTCTGCACTCCCAGCTGGTCTCTGACCCATCCTGGTTTTTTTCTTAATTTTAATGGCCTGAATTGTAAAACTTTGGAATCACATATTTAACCTATTTCTTTATTTTCTCTCATGACCACACCCCCCATGCCCCAGTAGTGGGGATTGAACCCAGGGTTGCTTTACCACTGAGCTACATCCCAGCAGTTTTTTGTTTTTTTTTTTTTAATCCCAATGACCTCAGCCTCTCAGGTCATTGGGATTATAGGTATGTATCACTACACCTGGTTTATGTTCCTTTTTAAAAAAAAACAAAAAAAACCCCCTGTTTTTTACATTAGAAAAACAGCATATGATTTCAAAAATAGAGTTGTGAAAACAAAGCAGCTTTCTTACCAACCAAACAGAATGACTATTGCATTTTGTTCTATTTCCTTGACGTCTTATTTGTAACCACTGCCTTACACATACAAATGGTAGAATTATTGCAAACATACCATTTGGCATCCTGTATTAACATCATATCTTAAGCATTTTTCTTTTTCTTTTTTTTGAGAAGGAGTGTGTTGCCCAGGATGGCCTCGAACTCCTGGGCTCCATCGATCCTCTTGCCTCTGCCTCCCAAGTCTGGGACCACAGGGTACACCACCAGCATGATTCTTTTTTTGTTGTTGTTGTTTTTTTGGTATCAGGGATTGAACTCAGGGGTACTCAACCACTGAGCCACATCCCAGCCCTATATTGTATTTTATTTAGAGACAGGGTCTCACTGAGTTGCTTAGCACCTTGCCTTTGCTGAGGCTGGCTTTCAGCTCACGATCCTCCTGTCTCAGCCTCCGGAGCCGCTGGCATTACAGGCTTGCGCAATGGTGCCTGGCTGCCGGCATGGTTCTTAATACTAAGTCCTGTTTCATTCTGTGATTGCTGATCCTGTGCTATCCACACACTGATTTGCATTGATTCCAGTTTAAGTAATATAAACTGCCTCCTGTGAACATCTCTCTGCAAGGATTTTTTTTTTTCCATATTATGGATTATTTTCATAGCATAGAGTCCTAGAAATAGAATTTGTGGGTCAAAGTTATAAATATTTTAAAAACCCTCAATACAACTTTCCAAATGGCTTTCTAAAAGGATTAGTTTTCTCTGCGACTGCTGTTGAGAAAGCCACCTTCACCATATTTTCACCCGCATCAGGTATTTAAAACATTGTTTTGACTCTTACTACTTAATAATTTCCAGACGGGACATGCCTTTCCAGGTTAAGGGCATAAGCTGGGAGCCAAAGCTTGGGTTTGAATCCTGGTTTAGTAGTTTACCTTCGATATCAATTTAACCCCTTTGTGCCTCAGTTTCCCCATCTGTAAAATTGGGGTAATAATACCTGCCTCCTAGAGTCTTGAGTGAAATGAAGTCAGTTAACTCCCGGAAAACACTGAAAACACGGCCTGGCACTTATCAACCACCCAGTAAATGGAGGCCGTTGTTATTCTTGTCACCTTGGAATATCTCCAAGTCATAATTATAATGCAAGGTCATAAAAATCGTTCTGCTTCTCTGACCAAAATAAATAACTGCGTTGCTGGCTGATTCTACATTTCTTTCCCAATGAAATCTCTTCTTCACCCCTTGTTGTTGGCAGGTGCCAACAACGCACAAATGTTTTCCTAACACAAAAATGTTTACATTTTGATCGATTCAAATTCTTCGTGTATAATTTCTTCTCTGCTGTTAAATGTAAATGTAGAGTTGGATAAATATTGAACTCCACGTTCCTTTCTCACCCACTTCAGCCCTTGTTAGAGACAGGAAGGCCATTAAAGGGGAGTCTTAAGTTGGTCTCTTTGAAGCCACTGGTGGCGCACACCTGTAGTCTCAGCAGCTAGGGAGGTTGAGGCAGGAGGATTGCAAGTTCAAAGGCAGCCTCAGCTACTTAGCGAGGTGCTAAGCAACTCAGCAAGACCCTATCTCTAAATAAAATATAAAAAAGGGCTGGGGATGTGGTTCAGTGGTTAAGCGTCCCCGGTTCAATCCCTGGTTTAAAAAAAAAAAAAATTCAGTGGCAGAAGCCACGTGGAAAGATACAGGCATCCTTGCAGCCACCAGCCATCCACCAGACAGTTCCATCTGGCTTGCTCTGAGGCTATTAACTAGGCAGGCGCTGAACTGCCCTTCTGCCAGGGGGGAGACAGGATGGCTTTGAATGAATTCCTGCCCCCCTCAGATGTTAAGGTGTCCCAAGTGAATCCCCTCTTTGGGAATCAGTTTTTATTCTTTCATTGGATAAGTCCTAGAAACAGATTTTCCCGCTTTCAAAAGGATGTGGAGCAACTTAGAATTAGAAAACACATACTCCATAATAAAACAAGCAAATTTAAAGGATAATGTTAAAAGGGGAGGTCATCCAGAGTCACAATTACAAGAGTGATAATTATACTTAGCTCTGAGCTTCCTGGAAGCCAAGTCAAAAAAGGAAATATGATGTGACAAAACCAGTTTTTCAAGGAAGATAACCTTGTTTTCTGTACTGATCCACAAAAGAAACTAATCAAATGAATGAAAGGACATTAAGCAATAATGTAAGGTCTGCAACATACATAGAAAAAAAAAATTTTTTTCCAATGTGGTTTTCTTGTTCCAAGCCCACAAAAATCAGCAACAAACTCTTGTGGGCTTTGGCAATAGACACAAGGATATTTACAAAGCAGACCTGAATTACTGTTAGTCGTCACATTAAGTCAACACCCGTTACAGAATCTAAGATTTACAGAAGGAAGAAAAAACAGTAATGGCTGGTATTATGAAACTGGAATCAAGAAATTCAATTTCTAAGCTGGAGCAACCCGGACATTGTGCCTCAGCCCTGTCTAGACACTGGAAATGAGAGAACAATGTACTGGAAGTTCTGAAGTTTGATCTCAGGGACTCCTCGTCGGGGTGGGGGGATGTCTGTGGTCAGGGTGTAACCCCGGAGGAGAGACTGCCATGGGTGGGAGCTGGAGTGGGTCCGCTTCGGTTTAGTCCATATCTGGGAAAACCCAAAGCTGTCCAAACCCTCACCACACCTTGATCTGGTTCTGTCTGGACTCAGATTTCTTGAGGCTGCTCTCTCCCTGGCCCCAACCCTCCAGGCCTGGGGGCCTGTCCCCAGCAGGGCTCCATGCTTGCTGGGCTGGAGGGGACCTCCCTGCCACCAGCAGGAAGTTAACCCAGGCTGCGCTTGTGGATGCCCACAGCAAACCTTGTCTTCAAGTCCAAGGTGAGGGGCTGGGATACAGCTCAGTGGGTAGAGAGCTTGCCTCGCTTGCACAAGGCCCTGGGTTCAATTCCCAGCCCCCAAACGAAAACAAGTCCAAGGTGACACCGAGAAACCTGTCCGTCTCCTGTCAAGTCAACTGGCCAAAGAGATCAACTAAGAGATCAACTAACGGGACAGCCTCCCTTGGAATTCTTGGCACTCCATCCTTAAACACTGACTGCTCCAGGCTCCTTTAGAATTTTTCAGAAGCACACACACTCAGGACATGAGGACATGGTCCTCTTTGCTCACTGTGGGGCCTCTGAAATCCTCAGTTCAAGTCACCCGATTCCCGGCCCTGATCCAGGAGAGGCAAACTGCCCAAGGTTCAAATTCACTTTATCCACATCCATATTCTGCAAGTTTGTTTTAAAAGGGACGACAGAATTTTGTTAATAAATGTAGTGCATTTAAAACACTTCCATCTCCTGGAATGTCAGCAGGGAATGCAAAGGGGTGGAAAGAGAGAGAAACAGATCAGAAGAAGATGAGCAGAGGTGAGTGGCAGAGAGAGACCAAGGATAGGGGAAGGAGAAAAACAAATCAACACAGTTGCCAGAAGGAACAGCCGCGGTGGGTGGGTCCAAGAATGAAGGACGCTCACAGCACTCTATCGCCTCCTTGTGGCCTCCTAGAAC